AATTCAAATTCTCCTGAATTAAATGTAAAGGAACATACTGAAATAAAAAGAAATTTAGAGCATAATGTGAACTGTCATGTGTTCACAAATGGCAGGTACATATACTTGTAGTAAGGCCTTGAAATTATTATCTTTTATTAAACTTCATTTCTTACACCATTTTTAGATTCACAGCAAAATTAAGAGGAAGGTACAGAGACTTCCCCATACACAGAGCCTCCCCAACTATCAACACTCTCCACCAGAGTGGTACATTTGCTATAACTGATTTAACCAACATTGACAAATCATTATCACCAGAATCCATAGTTGACCACGGGGTTCATTCTAGGTGTTGTAAATCTATGGGTTTGGACAAATGTATAATGACATGTATCCACCATTATAGGACCATACAGAATATTTTCAATGATGAATAATGTATAATGATGAAAAGGTATAATAACATGTAAATTGTCATCTGGCCAATAATTACCATTCTCACATGCTATTCCTACGATTTGTTGTTACTCATCATCTCTAACTAGATTAAGAAGTGCATAAATAAATGTAGTTTTCTTGACGGTCCCCAATTCTTAAGGAAAACTAATTGAAGGAAAATGGAAATACAAAGCAAAACAGAATCAAATAATTCTAGGATTGGAATGAACATCAGATATATACATTTTTTTAGTCAACATTTCTCAATTTTTTTTTTTTAATCTTCCTTTAATTTAGATTACAGTTACGTGATCGACTGCATTTACCCTGCCTTCTCCCTAAGAAATACTTAAGGTAATAAAAAAGATCCCTAGTAAGACAAAGTACAAATGATACTTTATTCAGAATTTTTCAAACTGACAATGAAAAATTACAGCACAGGCTTACCGCTGCCATGTACAGAAGACTGGCAACTCAAGATTGGTCAAAGTTGTAAATCTGAGTGTAGTGTCATTTTTTGTGACTTCCTGTGATTAGTTGCCAATCTTCACATGCAGTTTTCACTCCCATTTATGGTACTCTCACAAACCCCGCACCCCTCAAAGGTCCCTAAAGAAACATCCAAATTTTCTGGACAGAAATGACTACCAAACTGCTACATTATCCCTTAATTTTAACAAAGAATCTTATTCAAATGCCCTTTTAACATCTTTAAGTTTCCTGCTTATATTTATTTACTCTTTAGAATTTAGTATTATAAATTTTTCAAAAGATCACAGAGAAAATTCTAATACTTATTAGCAACTACATTTAATATTTTATAAAGTATTAAGAATTTTGATTATTAATTTTTAGAATAAAATAACTATTTAGGTAATCAGCCTATTTGAGACATTTAACTAACATCCTCTTTCATAATTAGAAGTTTGGCCCTAAAGTGGTGTTCAGGTATTTAATACCTAGACACAAAAAAATTTTGAGAAAAAAGGCAATACAAATTTTATATTTTTATGGTGAGATTAGCATTACATTTCCAATTACCAATAGCTTATAGTGGAAAGTGATGCACAGATTAGATACAAATATAGAAATTTAGGTCAAAAGTGATAAGACGCACATGAAGATTCCAAACAAAGAGATAACTGAAATCAGAGTACTGACTTCCTACACTAAAAACAGGACTTGGTAATGTTTGTAATATACTCTAAAATGATACTATAATGAAGAAGAAAAAATTGCTCTAAAAAGACCAATATACAAGAAGAAGAAAGGAGGGGGGGGGGAGAAGGATACAGAAAAACATACCTGAAAATAATATAATCTAATAAAGCTGGGTAATAAACCATAAACTCAAACACAGCTTTCAGATGGGTGTGTATTTGAACAATACTGAACTAGGACAAGCAGGGGCTCAAAGCAATAGTATCTAATTAGCACTACTGAATATATAAACCTGAATCTAAGCATAGACAGGTATTTGTGGGGTTCTTTGCCTGTTTCATTTCATTCAATTAAAAGTTGGGTATAGAGCCATAATCCTAGAGTCCAAATTAGGGTGTAATCCAAAAATTGAAACTAATCTCTTCCTCAAGCACATGCAGTTGAATCTGCAATACAGCTTCATGTTTCTTATTTTAATTGACTTAAATGGATATGGTAAGTAAATGATGGCAAAATGGATCAGAGTGAGGTCTGAACCTACTCTCTGGAAAGGGTAAATACGCTGGAGGTCACAAATAAAGATCTAGCCACTATCACTGTATCAACCTTCCTACCTTATGCTCTATTACAACAGAAATGTTCCAACATTACGCCAGATATTAGGGATGTTAGATAAATGAGAAAGGGTTCTGGCCTCCAGTTACTTAAAAACTAGCAGGGTACCTGAGTTCACAGTGACGTTCACCCTGTAGAATTGATAAGTTTTAAAAAGACAGCTTGTCTGTGAGTACTGATTCCAGCCTTTCATACATACTCTACCACGTTGCCCAAGCTAAAGTTGAAAAACTTACTACTTCCTAACATGTGAACTTATTTATTTATTGTCTGGGATTGGATGAAATAATACCTAAGATATCTTTGCTTCCAAAATATTATTGATTTTTAAGTCCATGATATAATACTATTATAGTCACTCTTTTAAAAAAGAACCTTTAAAAAATAGAATCACCACATACAATTCTCACATATACCTTAAGAAAATGAACCCAAGGTGTTCAAAAACACTACACCACAAAAGGAAACAGAGCTAGAACAATCACATTTGTTGTACAATCATACATCCCAAACTAAATATGCTGTAGGAATATTTTGCATTTCTAATGAATAACTCTTACCTTCACAACGCCTGTTTTAAAAGGAAGAAAATCCTAGGAAACAGTTAGGAATGAGGTTAGAAAAGGACAAGCCAGTAGTGCAATATTGTCTGGCCTCAGCTGCACTATTAGATTTCCATGAGCTCCTTCAAAGACTCCATTTAAAAGAGGTTTAGGGCTCCTCGGGAATCTAAAACTGACCATGTTAGGTTGCTTCCTGAAGAAGTCTGGTCTAAGGATACTCATAAAATGCAATCATTCCACTCACAAAATTAAAAGCACTCAAACTTAAGTGTTTAGTAAAAATTAATATTGCAACACTCACTGCCACTCTAAATCAGGGTGTTAAAATCAGTATATCAATATTGTCAGTAACTTCTCTGCAATACTTAAACTGCAATTCAATTATTTCTCATGAGAGATAGGAATGGAGCTTCACAGACAAAGTTTACTCAAAATGGATAAACTGAAAAAACAATTGGAATCCAGTGTGAATTCAGATCACTTCCAATTAGAAATAAAGAATTATGTAAAGTTATATTCAAGAGTTCCCAGTTCTACTTCAAATCAAAAGAGATTTACATAGTATCAATATTAAAGTACAAATGGCATATTATAGTTTTGAGGGGACAAATGGTTAAGATTAACAGAAAGATGCTTTAATTCAGTTCCAAAGAATGATTAATCAGAGTACTTGCTTTTTAAAACATGCTACATCAAAACAGCATAATTGATCAGAACCAGCTTTAGAATCAGGGTGGGTGGCCTAGGCCTGGCCCTGGCTCTGCCATGCAAAGACCATGGTACCTTGGACAACAGGATTGCTCAGTGTGTGAGCTCAGGAGCCAGGCAGTAACTGTGGATGGAATAGAGAACTCTTAATGCTTTGGTTAACTGGATTAGATGGCCTCTAATTTCTAAATTTATGCTTTAGAGTGAATGAGAGAATATCGCTGGTGAAACCGATTATATAAGACCTCACTTTGGATCATACAATAGGTCTAAGACATGCACGGTAAATAGGAGCTGTATATATTAATAAGAGCTGGATATACTTATTTATCCAGTGCTGCATATTAGCAGGACATCACGGCTGTTTTAAAGATGCTCAACATTATATAGTAAACAAAATGATCTCACCAAAGGAAATGGCAAAATGTTTTCTGGGCCACTAATTCAGACTTCTTAAACGGGAAATATTTGACATCAAATAGATCAGATTATTTGTACTATAAAGAGTATCCATATATTCCTCCATCACTACCCAAAGTGAATCCCAGCAATAGAATCATTTAGAAAGGCATCCCTCTTGGATTCCTTTAATTTATACTCACTAAATGTACAAAATCATGACAAATTTTCATCATGCAAGGCATACTCCTTACATAGTTTTTAACTTCCGTTGCAAGGAAATTCAATTTTTTGCCATTAGAGATCATTGAGGAATAAAACAAGTACTGCTATTACAACTGAAACCATCGAGCTCAGCACCTGCTCTGAGATCATTAGTGAGGGATACAATGTTGAAGTCTGGTAGGCCTTTACTTTCAAGAAAGTTCTGATTCCTCTAGGAAGAAAATGTTTTAAGAAAAATTAAGGCAGAACATAATTAAAAGGCAAAATGTGTGACACAGTAGATTAATGGAATGGAAATCAAAAAATGGATCTAAGCTAAGGTTTCAACAAGGTCTTTAGGAAAAACAATTTAGACAAAGAGGAATTTGTGTCTTCCAAATGGAGGATCATTTGTTGTTAAAGGTTATGTCTCAAGTTCACAGCAATGCCTTGCACAAAGAAGACATTCTAAAATTTCTTAGGGTATGAATATAAGGATAAATAAGTGGGGGAAAGACCTCATGTTAGTTGAAAAATTGCATATAAGCATGGTTTATTCAGGGGTCACTGAGGACTCCCACACCTTGATTGTTACATAGAATATTTATTTTCAAGAACCGCAAAATAGGGATGAGCAGGAAAATAAAGCAAGAATTTGAGACCTTCCAAATGTAAATGTGGATTTGATAAACTGGCAGTCCCTGTTGGTTCCTAAGCAGAGGAACGACACCTAGAAATTTACCTAACATGTCCAGAATGGATATACAGCCAGCATGTAGAATAATCTGGATAGCAAAAACTAGACATACAGAGAAGTATGGAATCACGCACAATAGCGTGTGTGTAATCTTATCTTTCAATGAGATTCAAATGTGTTCACAGTGGGTGGGGTGACAGGAGGGGTAAGCGATACTAAAATAAGCAACTTACTGCTGTCCATGCATTTCTTTTGCACCGGGCACACAGCCATCCATCACAGACTTCATGAGAAGGGATACCATAACAACCTATAAAATAATAGTATGGATCCATACATTAGGTTTTCTGCATCTTCAAAATATTACATATCTCAAAACTGAATTAAATAAAATTAAGACATCTGCCTACCATACTGTTTCTGACTCCCACTGCTTAGAACAAAAGATAATAAGCAGGGCTGTCTCAAAGACACTTTTTTTTTTTGGTCTTTTTCCGTGTCCGGCAGCAGATCGCAACCCTCAGTGTCGCCCCCGTACCGGACCGGGACAGGCAACGGGATCGCAGCCCTCGGTGTTGCTCCCGCGCCTCACTCAGCCAGTGAGCGGGAACTGGTCTGTATGTGGGATCCGAACCCTCGGTGGGAGCGCCGCCGCGCGGGAGCGGCGCACTATAGCAGTGCACCACCAGGCCGGCCCTCAAAGACACTTTAGGTTCTCATGCTACATTACTAACATAATAGCGGTCCAAGGAAACATGAGAATGTGGGTCCTGTTGTAACTAAATGCTTACAATAGTTATCATAGGAAATATTGATGATAATTCTTGAAAAGGCAATAATAAAATTTCTAAACTGTCAAGTCTCTTCCTTCACTCATGCAAAAACATTTCAAAATAAGTTACAATCCATGGAACAAAGTTTTGGGAAAAGTTAAAATAAAACAATAAATGAATTTTAACATCTTGGTTTTTTAATTGATATAATTTAAAATAACATTTCAAAAATTATGTCAAATTAGCTTTAATTTCAGTATAGAACAAAGGCTGCACAATCCATGGTTAGTAATGAAGGGATGTCTTCAATTCGATTTGTCTATTCAGTACATGCCTACTCAAAATAACTTCCTAAGGACAAGCTGATGATGCAACTATAGCAATTACATGTAGCAATCAAATGGCACCAACAAAAACATGTTACTCAGGTCTCTCAAAGACAGCTATTAAAACCCCCCTTTAAAAGAGAGTTTTTAAGATTTAATGAGTAATTTCTAAATTTCTGTAATATTTGTTATGGGAATAAAAAATTACAGAAATGTACTTACCCAACAAAAAACTTATCATAGTTAACCAAGTCCATAAAATACTGAGTCCAAGTACATGTTTATGAAATGCTATGGTTAAATTGTACAGCTAGTGCATTCAGGAATCAAGATTAAATCCCAACATTTTGTGAAAGGAACTCCATGATGACCCCTCATTTGGACAACAAACAAACAAACAAAAACCAGACTTGCTGTCTACTCATACAGCATAAAACTGGAGAAAAAAGGATGATTATACCTATACATACTTTCACTGGAAGAAATGCAAGAATGATCTAACGATTAAGCATGCCAATAGTTTAAAGTAATAGATTTGATAGGTTCCAAAGAGGTGAATAATAGAGACTATCTGAAGCACTACAAAGCCAGCAACTGATAAATTATAAATTCATTTACTTGCATGAACCCGTACACAGCACTTTGCACAGGAAATCAGAAGACTTGTTCCATCCTCTTCAAGGAAGGCATTAGGTGGAGAATATTCTATATTTCCTTCACTATAAATAAAACACATCTCTGGAATGAGGGGCTTAGTCTTTCCTCCGGATGTAACTACTTCATCTAACTTTGTCTCCCATATAGAATCATTTTCTTCGTTGCTGCTATCTGGCTGAAAAACACAACAGTTCCACATGAGTGAAAAACGCAGGCAAAAGCCCATCATTCATTCTGGTCGCTCGAATCCACTAACATCCGTTCCAGCAACTAACTTCCAACTTTTGTTCTCCCTGTTGTTCTCCTTGACCCAACTATTAGCTTTTTATCAGTGCTCCTCCGCAGGTACCCACCCAGAAGCTAATCTGTAAGAACAAGTGAATCTTCTGGATGTCTGCTCGTACAAGAAAGTGATGAGCTTGGGCCGGCCCGGTGGCGCACTGGATGGTGCGCCGCTTGGGAAGTGCGGCAGCACTCCCGTCCGAGGGTTCGGATCCCATGTACAGACCGGTTCCCGCTCACTGGCTGAGCGAGGCGCGGGAGCAACACCGAGGTTTGCGATCCCGTTGCCGGTCCCCGGTCCGGTACGGGGGCAACACTGAGGGTTGCGATCCGTTGCCGGACATGGAAAAAAGACAAAAAAAAAAAAAAAAAAAAAAAAAAAA